CCCCCCCCCCCCCCCCCCCCCCCCCCGCCCTGGCCTGTGGCCTTAATTGTTCTTTTTCTCATGGAAATAGAAATACTGGCATAACAATACTAGTTCAGTATTGCCTGCCAGGGACCCCAGGTTCCAGTCTTCCAACTGACCGCACTATTGTACGGAGGAGAAACCCCTAGCTTTTTTATCCTGCCCCTTCCTGGAGACCTAGGAAGAATTCAAGTAAATCCCTGATGAGTCCAAATCTAGTCAGTCACCTCTCCTATCTGGTTCACTATGGAACAGGATGGCAAAAATTAAAGGAACTTGTCCCTGTCCCCATTCAGAATTCCTAGTTTCAGCCTATCCTAGCACTAGAATTGATTTCTTCCCATGATAGTCCCTTCATCCCCAATCGTTGGTCAGGCACACACTTTCCAGGGCAGAGGTATGCAGGTAAACACTCAGAGAATAAACAAAGGGTAATGTTTTCTGGATGTGTCCCTCCTCTCCTCTCTCCCTCTGCATCCCCTCCCCCAATGTTTCCAGGAGGCTTCCTTGCAATGAGTCCCAGGCATCAGTTAAAGACTATTCTTCACCAGTAACCAATTTTTTTTTTGCACCACCCCCAAGAGGTTTACTTAAGACAGACTCCAACTTCGCTCTATGTCTTAAGAGGCCAATAAAAGCCTCTTTGATTTTGAAGGGTGGTTCATTTGGGGTCTCAGTTCAGAGGTGAATTGAAGTGTATACAAGAGCCTCCTCTGTTTTGGAGAACATGTTCCCATTTCATAGGAATTCATCGAGTTTGCAGTCTTATTTTTCAGTTTAGCTAGATGACCCCAGAAAGAGGGATGGTGTGAAAATCATGATTTGAGGATACGTGCATTCAAACGCACAAACAGGGGCACCCTCACACCCAATCAGTATATATGAAAGGAGATGTGCACACACATTGTAAGTTACATGTCTGTTCTTTAAAAACCAAATTTGATCGTTCTAGGGCTTTGGGGGATGTGGTAATACCAAGGGAGGGCCACGTCTCATTTGCGTAGCTTTGCTGCCCCGGATCCTCGGAACCGCCCCCGATTCCCTTGAAGTCCCCTCCTGTGTCTTGCTGCTGTGCACTTGTGGTGTGCTCCACACGACATCGCCCCAGCCTCTGCAGTGTCAGCTCATTAGCACACAGATCTCATATTCCCTCTCCGCACTGTCATTGCAAAAATTGCTGTTGTACACCTTTACAGCCAACAAATGTGCTCGTGGATTACGCACTGTTTGCAAGAAGCAAGGAAAAGGCAAATGTAACCTTAAAGGTTATTCACCACGGAATTGTGCTCTAAACGCACTGGCTTAAATAAAAATCTGTTGATGGAGGCGCAATAGTGATAGTGGGACTTGGGAGCGCAGGCTGTAATGGAGCCCCAGGCAAAATCCCTTTGGCTGCCTAAATCTAACTCATCAGCTGCAAATTTTTATTCCATTAATTTTTTCTCCCCAAGCCCTGTGAAATATACCTGCTGAGAGCATGCTCCTTTCATAACTGAGCGCGTTTCGCTACCAAGTGTACTTAGCTGAGACAGGTTTCCGTCTCTTTGCCCACAGAGTCACAATCTAATTATCTAATTATTCTAATTGCCAGGATCCATTTAACTGTTTAGGTCCGTTTGGGAAGGCAATGTGTCCCCTGATCTGATTCTCTGCTCTTTGGTGGGGTCTGTTTTGTTTTTGTGTTGGTCTTTATTCTCTGGAACCAGGGTGAAGACCTGCTCCAGTCCTCAAACAGATCTTCATTATACTAACCAACGTCGACCGCTCCAGCTCTACCTCCCACCCCTACCTAGTTCCCCCTCTTTGCTGCTGTCCCTGTCCTCTGTCTGCTGGCCAGTCTTCAGTAAGCTCACTGGCTTAGCTCACCTCTCCGCCCCTCTGGCCAGCTGGCTTAGCCCACTGAAGCACGGAGAGGTCGCCTCCGTGGTGCCAGTCAAAGACTTAAGTCACCTTCTCACAAGGTTTATTATGGGTTTTTTTTTTAATCTATTTTTTATGTGGAGAGGAGGGAGGAAGGTGATGCTGTTCATTTGGGCCATAAAAATAGATGGCAATCAGCAGGCTGTAAAGGTGAGTTTCCAGCAAAGTGTACCACCTCCCCTAGAAGGCAGCTTCCTGTTGATCTACCAAGTGGGGGCGGGGGACGGACAGGAAACGTTTAAGAGGAAAGAACAAAGAAAACTATTGTTCTCTCTCTGCGCTCACAGCCAAAGGAGCCACGGGTTTTCTTCCTCTCAGCAAATTTAACTTTTTTCCTTAAAATGAAAACTAGTTTTCCACATCCCCCACTTCGGCCTCTAGCTGAGGTTTCTTTAAACCTGCATTTCCATCCCCAGCTCCCCAAGATGGAATGAGAATAGTGGGGGGCTGGTTGGGATTTTTATTCTCTGTTTTTGGCTCCTGGTGTATTTGTTTCAAGATGTCATTATTATGGGTAGGCAGAGGTGATTGGCTGCTTTTATTTTAACAGACTGGAAAATAAATGAAGCCACCCAAGCGTTGTTATCAGTCTTCTTTTGTGGATAAGAGATTTGTC